TTCACTCCTGAATGACGTTTTTTCCGGATTTCTGCACGGCGAATGAGAACGACCCAAATTTGAGTTTAGTTTCACTCATAATCATCAAAAGTGCAGGAACTCGGCGATGAGTAAAATTTGTCTCATGGTTTCCTGTGGAAAACCTAAAAAATCTGCCGGAAAATGAGGAAATTGACGAAAATTTTATTCAGTCTCGGAGTAGTACCAATAGACTGAGTGAATTCAATTTTTACTTTTCTCAAATTCTTGAATTTTCCCCTGGAAAATCCTGGGAAAACATGAGGCAAATTTACTCATCGCTGAGTTCCTGCACTTTTGGCGATTATGAGTGAAGTAAACCTCAAATTTGGGTTGTTCTCATTCGCCGTGTGGAAGCTTTGCATCAATTACACCGATCTTCAAATTCAGGTAACATTCACAGCGTGGATATACCATCGGAAGTTCCACAAGGGAACCACTTAGGACCTCTTATTTTCATTTTATTTATTAACGACGCCACCTAATTTGCTGTAAGTTGTTGATGCAGATGATTTGAAAGTCTACCATCACACGGTAGTAACAATCGATCCTAGATTGTTGTGCTCTACAAACTGACCCGTAGTCACTCGCCGATCAGATTTGATTATTCGATGAATCAATTGCCGCTTGAGCGAGTTGATTCTGTTAAAGATCTTGGACTTATCTCGAATAGCAAACTTAGGTTCAACGAGCACATATCTATGTAAATTGCAACTCTATATCATGCTGTGCACATATCGTGCATCGTGAGCGGCGCCGGTGGTGTAGTGGTAAGCGTGATTGCCTCTCACCCCAGCAGGCCTGGGTTCAATCCCAGTCGGCGCCGTCGGGATGTTCTAAGGCATAACATCTCTGATCAGGTCGTTGGTCCCCGGTTCATGAGTTGATGGGTCGATAGGTAGGGTCCAGGTGTGGGAGCTGCCTCCCTGGGATCGGTGGCATTGGTGCTCAGCACGGAAAACAAGATAGACGGAAAACAAATCAAAGGAAAAAAAATATCGCGCATCGATAGAATCCAGATATGTTCTGTCAGATTCGCCTTACGACAGCTTTCATGGACTAATCCCGATAACCTACCACCATACGAACACACACTGATGTGCGCTTATTGGACTGCAAACAGTCGCCGAATCTTCCTTCAGACTGTAGTAGTGAACTCCGGATGATCAACTTCCACGCTCCAGTCTGTCGTCTCCTTAATCCATACCTCTTGTGAACTCCTGGACATCCTTTTGCTTATGGCTATAACAATCTGCTCGACAAATGTTGTAGACTGTTCAATGATGTGTGTGATCCTTTTGATTTTAAGATTAGTAAACTAGTTTTAGTTCTAGTAAACTAGAATAGAATACAGTCCTGATAATTCAGTCTGTGTTACTTTAATGTCAAAGATGGTAATTATAAAAAAATGATCTATAAAAGGTTTAAAAAAAATATTCTTGCTCTTTCTATGCTTTCCGGAATTCTTAAATATGTTTCAATATAAGAAAATGCTATTCAATCTTATCACACGCACCTAGCCGCATCTACCGAACAATAGATCATGCGCGATCGAGGTTATCCTACTGTGTCTTCTTCGTTTTCTTTTTCTACACTTTTCAGGCTTTTTGCTTATCGCATATTAGCTTATTGCGTGCTCTCAGCTTAGTGTTCTAGATGCACATCCACAGTTTTTAATTGAGAACTTTCGATGCCTGTCCCATGTTTGCATTAGTATACCGTATGCGTGATAATTTTTGCACCATCGTACAAATAAGGTTCCCGTTTCACCTGTACAGACAATGCCTTGGTTTTCTTTGCATGCACGTAACTAATAGCTCATACCGTAGTAGGCTGTGTTTAACAAAAAATGATTTACTTAGTTTGACAGTTGCACCATGACGAAGTGGCAGCGTATTCGTGATTAGGGTTTTAGACCGAGAAAAGAAAGGACAGCTATCCGCGAAGGTGGCCACAGGTCGTCCGAGGTCAGCTCGGGTTCCGAGGGTTATCGCTGCTATCAAAATAGAGGTGGGTAAAATAGCTCAGATGGCTGAGCGGATCAGACCCGTCCAGCTCATTAAAGGGAGTCGATTCTTGAAATTATAGAAATTTTGACACAAATGTCACACGCGATGATATGATCGACATCGTGTTACACGATGTTACGCCTTTTCTCAAGCTATGCAATCCAGTCTACATACAGATTTTATTTCTGATGTAAATTCTTCAGCAGATTTGCTCTCACTATTCTCGGTTTCAGCTCCCGATCATCAGCTCAGATCTAGAGATGGGCTCTCGAGCTGTTCTATAGACTCGAGTCACTAAAATCAGCTGATGACCCGTGGTTCATTTTTAGGAACCGCAGCTCATCAGCTCACTGATATCATAAGTCTAATGGTGTATTCAGATCTGAGCGTGCATTAGCGGAGCGGAGCAGAATTTGTGTTGGAATGAGAGAGACAGCTAGTACTTCTCTGCCTATCGTAAATTCGCAAAATGTCGGCCCGCGCGTGAAATATCACTCAGGACGGAATCCATATTGATTCTCCAGCACAATTGCTCCCACTATTCTCGGCTTCAGCTCCAGATCATCAGCTCAGATCTAAATCTGGAGCTGAATCGTGTAGAATCGAGAGAATAAAGATCCGCAGAGCTGGACGGGTCCGAGAGCTGTACTGTCAGTAAATCATTCGAGCCGATGATTCTGATCCGAAGCTGAGCTGATAAGCTGGAGAGAATGATGGGAGGATAGGTAAGAGCACATATACTGGAGGAATAACAGCAGCAATAAGAGCCGTGTACGTAAATGCATTAGATAATACCAGTAGAAATCTAAGATCGTCTAATCGTAGGTACATGTAGAATTACACGCGCATCTTGGTTTACGTGGTGGCTGTTCAATGCGCAAAGGAGCAATGCGTGCTTTTTTGAAAAATTCCGCAATGAGTGACGAATTGAATGGTTAAGATTTGTGATAACAGTGTGCTGATGAGCTGCGGTTCCTAAAAAAATGAACCGCGGGTCACCAGCTCACTTTAGTGAATCGGGTCCTTAGAACAGCTCGGGAGCGGATCGCTCATCTCTATATCAAAAGGAAGATTCGGGTGAATCCAGTGCGTTCAATAAGGAAAATGGCAAAGGAACACGGGATCAGTCACTTTACGGCACGGAAGATCGTAAAGGAAGATTGCGGAGCGAAGTCGAGGGCACGGAAAAAAACGCACATGATTACCAACCGCATCCGGGAGCTACGAGTCGAACGATGCAAGAAAATCTTGAACTTCCTTAAGCGAAAAAATCTGGTTATCCTGTTCACAGACGAGAGCATGTTTACCGTCGATCCCGTATCAAATTCCAGAACCGACCGGTATATTAGTTCTCTTCCGGTAAAAGACGTGGCCGACGCGCACAAGAACGTGTATCTGACAAAGCATCCTGCTAGCGTTATGGTGTTTGGATTGGTGGCTTCCGATGGCAAACAAATGGACTCGGTGTTCATTCCAGAAGGCGACACGGAGATCTAAATCGGGATTTTAAGTAAGTATGTTCTTCCGTGGATCAAAGAACAGTACGGTCCGAAGCCAAATGTTGTATTTCAACAAAATGGGGCTCCGTGCCACACCTCGAACCGCACTCAGAAGTGGTTGCAGGAACATCTTTCGTTCTGGGCGAAGGATATGTGGCCGCCATCCAGCCCCGATCTTAATCCGCTGGATTACTCAATATGGCGCGTCATGATCGCCAAGGCCTGTTCTAAACGCCACCCGAGTACAGCAAGCCTTAAACAAACATTGACCCGTACCTGGGGAGAAATGGATCCAGACTACATTATTAGAACCTGCCGTGCATGTCGGAAGCGTGTGGAGGTCGTAATTGCAGCAAGTGGAAACTCGATCGATGATTAACATAGTTTAAGACTCTGAGAAACATCCCTCTTTGAATAAATAAATAAAGTCGAAAACGAAATTTTTGAGAATTTTGACATTGCTCAATGGTGCAAACATTATCGCGCATACGGTAATTGTATGGCAAGTACAATCATACTCTATGCCCAGGTAAGTCGAGAAATTTTCCAACTTGAAATAGAACCGTAAATCGAATCCAGCTAACTCCAACATGGTTTTGATTTGTAGCTGCGGCTTTACCGACTGAGCAAAGGGAGGCTCCACTGGGTAACAAACGAAAATAAAGAAAAATGATACACTTGATTCAGAAATGGCAGAAAACGAACCAGAACTCGCCCGACCTACACAAAATGCATACATTGTTCATAAGGAAGACGGGTTCCGAATCATTTCCCACGATAACCATCGACAAACCGACAATTATGACCAACATTTCGCGTGTTTTCTATAGTTGATTATAGCCACACAATTTGCTTTAATTTTCTTCCATATCATTTTCATTTTTGCTGAATGACACTTTCATCACCACTCCCGGTCACTCAATTCGGTCAGCCAAAGGCCAAACTCATACACCCTTCGATGTCTGAATACTGTCCTTAAATATAAAAATTTAAACAGACTTTTCAATTTTCCAGTTCACCGACTTATCGATTCTTTATTTGCTTCTTTTGCAAGCGATGACAAAGAAAAGCAAACCAATCATCTCTATTCGCATCCTTCCAAACCAAGTTTGCTGCGAAGCAAAAAGCCCCGAAAGCAAACCTTGACTTACGTACCCCATCGGAAGACAGATCTACGCTGCAGAATGTCACAATCTAGCAAAGATGAAAAATGCTTGATTAAGGTTATCTTTTTGTTCTCGTCTGACTTTCCATTTTATTAACCCCCCGCCCCTCACTGAACCGTGTCATTGGCTATGACTGCGAAACACTGCGATTGCCAATGGAATCCAACGACCACCTCCCGAGTCCATAGATCACATCAAAAGAAATCTTTTTTTTTTTCACGACGAACGGACTCGATAATTGATAGCTGCACTTACTGACTGTAACAACTGAAAACCGTTGTGCTGGAATGGGAAATTTTCACACTCACCTTGGGATGTTCGCGGACGGGCACCTGCACCCGGACGATGATTTTGATCGGCTTGTCCCGGGTGATGTCGAGCATTTTCATCTTTTCGTGTACCACCGAAGGAGAATCTGTGGTTGAAAGGGAATTTCGAATTAAAGCTCTCATCGAAAATGTAGTAGACGAGAAAAGGAAGATTCGGATCTGTCGCTCGGTGATATAAATATTTATGCAATTAAGATGAAATGTGATAACAACGGAAACAAGAGTAAGTTGAACACCGTTAATAGGAAATGGGACGGGAGCAATCGTTTGGAAATCGTAGGCCATTATCATTCTGCTAATGATGTTCGATGGCTTGTGGGGCGAAAGGATACAGTTATGAATATTTATCATTTGTTTATCAATTGAGTGGTCGAGGCAGTGTGGCATCAATGATTTATGATCCTACAACAATGTGTACAATTTTATGACCGTGCAGAGCCCAAATGAATCGAATTTAATACCATTTATAGGTCCAATTGCAGATTATTTCACATGGTATTTTTTTTTTCTGGAAGTGTGCATCCACAGCAGAGTAACTTTTTTATGTGAGTAAACAGTGGGTAGCAATTAGAGCAAACGCGGGTGAGAATTTACTGATATTTTTTTTTATTATTTCACTGGAAACCACGAATTCATCGAACAGCAACGGGAAAAACGAACTCAGTATAACCTCAGCTGGTCCATAACCAATGGGGGGAATTGAAAACTTTTCCGGATATCTGGGGTTTATCCTGCGTTGGTTATTCATGGCGTGGATCATGTTGCTATTAACAGAATCGCTAGATATTCGATAAATTTAATTTTTGTTGCTGTCTGCAGGGGGCTTCATATAAAGGGTGTCCCACAACAAATTGCATCACGGAAAAACGCTGTAGAAAATTACCCATTGGGTATTTTCTCTTGAAAATGAGGGTAGAATTTGTTTAGAGTGTATTGTTTACACTGTATTTTTATCGCTGTCAGTTTTTTGAACAATGGAAGAAATGGCAAAGCAACGTCGCGATTTGATTTTGCGCAAGCAGCTGGAAAATCCTCAACTCTCTCATCGGGACATCGGAAAACAACTCGGAATCCTGCAGTCAACGGTGAGTCGTTTGATTAAACGTTACTACAAAACTCTAAGCATCGAACGGAAGGAGAAATGCGGTCAGAATGGATGTTCTATTAGTGATCAGGATCACAAGCGTGTCGTGAAAGCGTTTAAGCGGAATCCCAATGCTTCGGTCAGGGATGTGGCCAAAAAGTTGAATCTGTCCGAGTCTTTCGTTCAGAGAGTCAAGGATCGGGAGGGACTGCATACGAACAAAGTGCAGAAGGCTCCAAGTCGTGACGAACGGCAAAATACGGTGGGAAAGTCACGGGCCCGAAAACTTTACAGCCAAATGCTGACGAAGCCTCATTGTCTCATCATGGATGATGAGACTTACGTCAAGGTGGACTTTCGGCAGCTTCCGGGGCTACTGTTCTTAACCGCCTAGCACAAGTTTGATGTTCCGGAGGAAGTAAGGAAGCAGAAACTTTCAAAGTATGCCAAGAAATACATGATTTGGCAAGCGATCTGGTCATGTGGCAAACGGAGTGCTCCGTTCGTGACTACCGAGACTGTAAACGGGGAGATCTACCTCAAGGAGTGTCTACAGAAGCGTTTGCTTCCTCTGTTGAAGTAACCATCCATCCTAAACCTACCATCTTCCGGCTGGATCTAGCTTCGTGCCACTATTCAAATGTTGTCCTGGAATGGTACTAAGCCAACGGGTTCACTTTCGAAGAAAAAGTGGGTTTCCGTACAGAAGAAGCTACAGCCAGATGTTGTACAGATCCTAATGACTGGAGCTAAGCGTAAGATGCGAGCGTACGGTTGTATTGAAGTTGAATGAAATAAGTAGGCCAAAAGCTCGCTAATGGGTTTTATTTTATTTTCGAAAAGTTTGAAACGTATCGGTCAACTAGTTAATTTTCTACAGCGTTTTTTCCGTGATGCAATTTGATGTGGGACACCGGATAGGCGGTGAAGGCAAATACAGTCAGAAATCCTTATTGCCGGTATCCCTTATTGCCAGATCCTTATTGCCGGACTATCCGCGAAGAAGGATACCCACAGCTTATGGGATTTTCACTAATAGGGGCTGTTTTCGATTATAACATTTGTTTCAATACATAGAGCTATACTCTCTTGAGCAAAGTTGTTGTACTGGGATAGACCAACAAGCATGTGTCATTGGATTCAGGTTTGATTACGAACTCCGTCGCTAGAGGCGCTTCACTTTTCTGTTACTTATGACGAGCGCTATAATAAATGTCCAACATACAATATTTCATGATCCTGGTCATATAGAAAGTTACTATCCTGGGCAAAGTTGTTCAAGTGACCAAGTCCTTTTGGATGGTTACCATATTTGATCAGAATTTTCTCACTACGCAGCGGTAGTGTGCACATGAGCTTCCTATATAATATGTATCTCCAAATCCTGGACATATAAAAGGTTACTGTCTTCAGCAAAGTTGTTCAGATATCAGATTATGATCTTGCAAGATCCTATTTTTTACCAGCGATTGTCGAAAAATCTGGACAATTTTTCGGACATGCCTCAGAATTTCAGCAAAACGCGTAAGATAAAGCGCTAAAAATTAAAGTACAACTAATTTTCAAGTAAAGTACATTAAGTCACATAAAAATAACATGCCAGATGGTGTGTCAGTTTCTTCATCGGAATATTCGTTATAATTGCAGTCATCATCGGTATCGCCTATGGAATCAGTCATAGCAGAGTTGTTTTCCAGAGGACATCCATCACTGGTAAATGAAGCCCATGGATGTAGCACTTTTTGTGACAGAACTCTTACTCCCTTCCAAATGTCACCATTACGGCAGCTCCGTCAGTTGTAGCAGCAGCAATATATGTCCGTGGTAAGCAAAAGCTTGAGGTAACGATGTTTACAGCCTCTCGGATTTTTTCAGCCGGAAGAGACCCATGAGCACGAACCAGTCCGAAATTGAACATGACCCCGTCGAAGCAGTGCACGTTGACATTGAAAAACCGTATATTACTGATGCTGGTCCACTCATCCAAAGTGAGGCTCATACATTACTCGCTTCGCAATTTCGTTCTTGGTGAGATCTTTTGCTTTATTCAAAAAACCGTGTACTAGTTTCATCACAGCTGGTTGGGAATTGCATGCCACGAGCGGAAATTGACTGGCGGATAAACTCACTTTTAGTTATAGTGTGGATTGAAAATCCGTCAAGTGCAGCAAGCCGTGCTACAATTTCTTTCAAAGACTGACGTTTAATGAATTGCATCATTATGGTGGATCCTCCAGGTCTCGATACTTTACTTGGCCATGATCCCTTGCAGGAAAGTTGCTGTGGGCATTTGGAATATTGTGCTTTTTCACCATCAGCGGAAAGCTTCGTAAAATATTGCCAAACGTCCGCAAATAACTTACTCTTTTCAAACAGATTTGGAACTTTTAACTGTCGTATTCAACGACAGCAAAACTGGATCTTTTTCTAGGTCTGACTTTTCGGGGTGTCACTTCTAAATAACATTCTCGATCGTAGTAGGCAATCAGTCTCGCTTGCCGGTTTTGCTTGTTCCCTTGGTAACCATCGAACGACATGAGGGCTCGCTGCGTTCTTTATGGAATCAGACTGGAGAATTACCCACATGGAATATGCACCCCCTCCAAATAGTCAATGGCTTTTGCACTTCAACCAATCAGAGTTCACAAAGGGGAATTCAATTTACTCCTTTTCTCTCATTGGAGAATTGCAAATATTTTTATAACTGCCAATATTATTATTTTCATTAATGAAATAAAAATCCAGTAAATCAATGAAAGCATGCACAGATAAAAATTCTGAATTTTAATTGTGATGTAAACATTCATTCACGTAAACTTGTATTTCATTTCACGCAACCGAGCAACTTGCAAACAATGTTGTTTACAAAGATGGGCTTTTGTATACAATATTGGCTACATTGCATGAAATGTGTCAGAACTTAACATGATATATAATGTAAACTTATATGAAATGTGACGCTCCATTTATGTGCATCATGTTGAACAGAAATTCACAATACTTTTTCGAACTGTGTGGTTCTTTTTTTCTGGATAAAAGTAGCTCTATTATTTTCAAATCCATATGTACCCATCGTAACTTTGTCCAATATTAATCAAGAATCAAATATTCAAATGAAAACGAATAATTAAATAATGACTTGTTCCACGTCATTTGCAAATAATTATCCTACAGTGGAACATAATTTGTGTATAAATTATGAGTTAAAAAAAATAATCCCGGGATGAACGGGATCCGGGATTTTTCATCCCGGTATGGAAGCTCTAATTCTATCCACCCTCTTCCTTCCACTCCTTGAGAAGTGTTTCAACTTCCCTTAGCAAATCTTAAACTTTTGTACTCTGTTCGACATTACTTGCCAATGTACAGAAGCTTTCGAACTCGGAGAGTTGATTTATTTTGAACTCAATTTCTGCCGTGGTGGGATGAAAATATAATTCATATTCATTTTAGATGGATCCAGTTCGCTAACAATTTCATCTGCTGCAGCCGGTTCATCTATTATAATTTCATTGATTTTACTGTGTTTTTATCCCCGGCGCACCAAACTTTCCGTGAATTTGTTGAATTTTGGACATGATGAATTCGCGAAAAACCAAGGGAAAATTTTACTTGCAGCAGTTAACCAACGTGCTTTGTTTTATATCATTTAGAACCACATCCAAGTAGTCAAAACAATTCTTGATGCTGAACTAATTTCGTGTATCCGCTAGTGAAAGGCCTTCATTCTCGGCTGTTTCCAGAATAAAACTGCAGATTCTCTTGACATACTTCAGCTTGAAATGTTTGATGATGCCTTGATTAAGGGGTTGAATCAAGGACGTGATCTTTGGTGGCATGTATAGAAGCATTATGGTGGGATTGCTTATGGTGGGCGGATGCGACTAGAAGCAGCAAAGCCATGAAGCTAATGTTCTCGGCTGCCCAAAACTCCTGCAACTGTGTTGAGAAGTAGTCGTTTATCCAGTCCACAAATCATTCTAGGGTCATCCAACCTTTCTT